ATGTTAAAACAAAGAAACATATAAAACTGAATATTCAGTTTTTTAAAAAAATTACGAAAATATTTTACAAATTTAATTTTTATTAAAATTGAGGTTAAAATTGGGTTATGAAAATATCAAAAGTTATTGGGACAAAATGATATGTGTATAAAAGTTATTGGGACATTCTCAATTTCAAACTGAGTCAATTTAGCAAATTTCTGTATTAATTAACCACACTTCACTATTTAATCGAAGACCTTTTTTAATGCACTTATGCACAATGTATCTCTAGATTCTTAAGTCGATCGTATAGAGTTTAGAAAATATGAAGAATGGAAGATGTGTAATTAACAAGTGAAATCAATATATTGTAAATAAAAATGTGTTCACAGCTAACTACAGAGACTTGGCAGTCAAGGTAATTTAGAGTCTGTGATTGAAATAGAAAGAGTTTGGAAATATTCCAAGTGCAGCTTGAAGCTTCTAAACCATCGATGATTTTATTGGGATGCATGTTGTATTTGGGTGAGTTCCAGTTGGTGATCTAGAGTTATAAAACTCGGTGAAAATAGGGAGACTGAAAGTAAACCATGAAACTAAACTCGGTGATAGTTGGAGCCGTGCCGTGATTGGTGAATGTAAATTAGGTTTAAATAAATTTTACATTTAATTAAAAAAAATGATGCTAGAATGAGAAAATAAATTGTTATAGAAGCAAGCGATCAGTGAAAATGAGGAGATTGAAAGCAATCGATCACATTAATAATTCCAAAGTAAATTGTTAGTATAAAAGCTGAAATCGAATTTTTGCTACGAATCTTGTTCCGAGATTTTTGATCTTGTCAAGTTATTTAATAAAAAAAAAAATCAAAACAAAAATGTTCAGAGATTTTGAATAGTATCACATCAGAATGAATATAGCAACTCTAATCATCAATTGCAAATACATAAGAAATTACAAACCTAGGATGTGTTCTACTTGACCTCGAATATGAATTCGTCTAACAACATATCAATAATATCATAAGGACATATAGTCATGTTACTCATGTAAATGATGTAAGAAGAACTTATTAAGATAGCTCGAGTGCCTAACCAGACGATTATACTGCATGACTTCGAAAATCTTATTAAGACCGCTGGGAAATCCAGACGCCAGCGTAGTAGGCCTTTGAACAATGACTTGAACTAAAGTCACCTCTGAGCAAGAAATAGGTTTGGCAATAGAACAAGTTGCAGAATGACAATTTAATGAAGCTCCAAAGGACCAAAGAGCTACTATAAATACACATAGCCTCACTATACTTAAATTCATCAATTTCCGTAGAGTTTCCCGTTTTTTTTCCTAAAAACAAAATGGCCACGCAGGGTTCAATAAAAACCCTAGCTTGTGTCCTTGCACTGATCAGCATACTCTTCCTCAGCCAAACCGAAGCCACTAGTTGGTCCCGTCACTGCCCGCCTCCACCCCGACCGGTGTGTCCACGGTGT